GGCGTCTACTGTGGGGGGCGTGTGTGGATCTGTCCATCTATTCATCCGTGTGTTACTTACATGTATCGCAGAGAGACGGAGAAAGATGGACAGACGTCGTGTGCTGGATGTGTGTCGGGCTGTGTGCTTGGCTGGGTGCCGCCCTCGACGTGCGGAGACGGTTGTCACCTCATGCAGTGCTCTCGCATGAGGCGGCAATCGTCTGCCCGCGGACCAGGTGGCACTCAGCCGGCCGCCAAGGAGACGCTCTCACACAGACGGAAAGATCAGCGAAGATGTGTGTTGGCATGACAAGTAGGTATGCCTGGCTGTGCAGTGCTTTCCTTTCCTTCGATCGATGAGGCTGCCTGGCTGTTCCATTGTGTGATGCTGCCTTTCCCTGCGACAGCACGATGACACGTGCTCCCCTCGGTGTTTGCGCTCACCGAGGAATTGCAGGCCGTGTCGGCGGAGCTGCACACGGGGGAAGCAACAATACACATACACGGGAACAGAATGGATGGATGGATGGATGTTCGGACGGATTTTTCTTTCCCTGTGCACCGGCGCTGTGTGTGTCGATTGATGTGATGTGACATGATTGGCGGACCTGTCAATGTACCTGCCTGCCTGCCTGCCTACATGTGAGATGATGGATGTATGCGAGATGAGCTGTATGTAGTGCGTCTGTCTTCCCCTTGTTTTCTGGTAGCTAGCTGTATGGTTGTGTGCATGCATGGCACACACAGACAGACAGACAGACAGACAGACAGAAGAACACATTATGTAGACGGGAGAATGATTTTTGCAGATGTGTGTGTCGTGTAAGGTATGCGATCGACAGACGAGGGAGGCGAGGAGGTATGATGGATGATTTGTACACGTGAATGAAATGACCAGCAGGAAGACCGACCGACCTGTGTCAGTCAGCTGACTGACTGAATCAATCGTTGAGCTGAGCGTCATGCGATCAATGGACATCCATCCATCGGTTGGTTAGTCAGCCCCCACTTACCTCACCGGTGGGTGACCCACCAACACGAACCAACCAACGAGAAAAACAGAGAGCCCTCTCCTCTCTCTCTCGGCCACACGCACCAATCGCATCGTCTCGCATCACGCGGCATCGTCAGCCGGCTGACCGCTGGCCGGGAGAACGAACACCATCCATCTCCACCCATCCTATCACCTACTATGGAAGCTGCACGCACCGTACGAAAAAGGGTACACGGTGTCTACCCACCCACAACACCCACACACTGTGGCACACCGTGTTCGCTTATTCATTCCCCAGCGATCTCTCTGAGACGTACGGGGGTTCGACCCTTCCTTCAGCTTTTGCTATCAATGCTAGACTACACACAAATGCATCCATGTGTTCCTTCCTCGCCCCTTGCTTGTCTGTCAGGCAGACAGGTAGGCAGGCAGTATTGACAAAATCTACACAGGCAGGCAGCCAGCCAGCCATGTCCGGCACGGCCCCCTCTCTCCTCTCCCTCGCTCCATTCCCCTGTCTGTCTGTCTGTCTATCTGTCTGTGTAGATGAATTGTTAGGTGTACATGACAGGTGCCGGTCGGTCAAAAATCTCCCACCCCACCCCACCCCACCGCCCTCTCTCCTCTCCCCTCTGACGTACGTCAAAACATGGAGCGTCCCCCCCGCCACTCCCCGCCACTCCCCTGCTGTCTTCGCCTCATGACGTGGTGCACCTCCGGCGGCCGCCGCCTCGGGTGAGTGTTGTGCGGTGGCCATGAGTGCCGCCTCGTTCTCATCCCCCGCTCCCGCAGCCATCTTGACACGTCTCTGAACTGTTCCCGGAACATGTTGGGGAGCAGGAAGCCGACTGAAGATGACTGCTTGTCGTGCTGCTGCTGCTGCTGCTGGTGTCTTGAAGAACCATCGTTGCTGTTGCTGTTGCTGCTGGCCTGTTGGTGCTGGTGGCGTTGATGGGCATCGTTAGCTGATGGTGTGGTGGTGGCCTTGTCGGTGTCGGTGCTGCCCGCGCCGCCAGAGACCGCATGAGGGATGATTGGTGGGTCCCGTGAGGACGGGAACAGAGAGGGCAGCCTCCTCTGTGCCCCTGCTGCCGTGGTGTTGACCCTCTCGCTATCTCTCCTCTGCGGCCTGAGAAAGGACACCACCCGGCTCCCCTGCTGTGTGTCGTTGCCGTTGACGACCGACTTGGTCACACCGGCCCCCCTGAAGCGGAAGCGAGATGTGTTTGTGGGCGATAGGGGTTCGATGAGCAGCTGCAGGACGGTCTCTGTGAGGCCGATCCGCTTCCTCTCCCCCTGCGTCTCGTCCCACTTCCAAATGGGCTGCCGTCGGGTGAGGAAGGCGCCCAGCGATCCCCGCTCCTGCATGGTCAAGTTGACGTGGTCGAACAGGGGCAGCAGCAGGGGGAAAGACGTGGAGGTGTTGGTGTTGGCTGCTGTGGGTGTGCTGGATAGGAGGATGTCCTCGAGCCGCCACTGTGTGGTGCCTGTGCCGGGTGGGATCAGCCACCGCCACGTGGTCGTGTTGGCAGGCTCATCGGACGGCACCAACGACAGACGGAACCTACAGGGAGCGGTCCGATCCATGCAGCCATTGGCTCGCGGCACAGCAAGCTAAGCTAAGCTTGTGAAGGGGAGGAAGGGTGTGGGTGTGTACCGTGCTTTCTCTGCGCTCCTGAGTATCCTCATGAGGTTCACGCGCATGCCCCGAACGAAACGGTCCTGGTCGCTAGACACTGCACAAACCACACATCACATGTGGTACCTGGTGTCCGTGTCGTACGTGTGTGTGGTGTGGCCCACTGACTGACTGACTCACTCACCCTTGACATTGGCCCAGTCGAATGCCTCCTTGCCGGCCAGGAAGTCATTCTGCGCTGCGATTTCGCGACTGGCCCCTGCCAGGTACCTCACGAGGTCTCCGTGTCGGCCCCGCCCCAGCCAGGAGTGCAGCTCAGCCAGCCGACGATCCAACATACCCCTACACGACGTGTAGTCAGTGTACCCACGCGCAGAGCACAAATGTGTGGCAGTCGATGCGATGCGTGAGTGTGTGAGTGTGTGAGAGCTTTGCATTGCACGTGCCTGAAGTCTTGCGCCATGGCTTTGGGTACGGTGGCGGCCTCGATGAAGCGGGTCGTTGCTGCCTCCCATGACAAGGCGAACCTGTGTGGGGTGGGCCCAGATGCGCAGGGGGGAAGGACACAGATGCGTGGCGGTTTGGGGTGCTGTGCATATCTTATCTATCATGTGGGATACCTACCTTTCGGACTGTGAGAGCGGCACTGGATTGTTCTTTAGCGCCCACACCAGATTGGCTGCAAACTCCTGTCAAGGCCACCACACACACCACACACACACAGATTCGCCCAACCTCCATCACCATCCCATCTCCCCCGTGGCAGCCACGGACCTCTTTGTCTCTGTAGGTCAGGCAGTTCCTGAACTGCTCAAAGAAGGTGTTGGACGGGTGTCGCGGGATGATGATGAACTTGCCCATGGCCAGGGCCTCTGCAGAGGTGGTGCACAGCACCTCGCTGATCGACGGATTCACAAACACCTGAATGACAGACAAAAGATCGCGTGTGTGTACGCAGGAAAGCATCCAGAGCAAGAAGTGTCTCGATTGCCGCATCGCATGTGTGTGATGTGAGGCTGGCTGACCTTGTAGTCTTTGCAGTGAGCGTGGTCGACGCCCGGGAAGAAGTGTACAGGCACCTTCATGCGGTGGGCCGTTTGCTGCAACCGACCGACGATCACATTAATCACACACCACACCCAGACAGAAACAGAAATAAATGCGTCTCTGTGCTGTGGATGGCCTCTCCCTCCCTCCCTCCGTCCCTCAGTAAGTCACTTTGATGCTGTGCTCGTCAGGTCCGCTGCCGTACACATCCACACTGACGTGCCCCGCGCCGTTAGCACGCCGCCTCGTGTACTTGAGCAGATCAAACAACATGTCATGGCTGCATACCAGACACACAGACAGCAGTACAATAAATACGATATGCATCCCTGCCCGTGCTTGGGTCACTGACCCCTTTGCCCAGAGCGCCTTTCCGATGAAGTAGGCCCCCTTGCTGAATCCCCTGACGGCCGCCTCGTCGCCTATCTGGAGGAAGTCGTCCCGCACGCCGTGGACGTTGCAGGTGACCTCCTTCTCGGGGGCGAACCGCTGGAGTGTGTCCGAGAGCTTGATGATGCGGTCGCAGTAGGAGCGGCACATCCACTGGTTCATCACATACAGAAATGGCTCCTTGATGAAACCAGCCGTCTGATCGATGAGATTAATGCACACACACACACACACACACACATGCACCACACGGTGGATGCAGTGCAGATGGCGGTGGGGGAGGGTGGGGGAGGCATCCCCCCCATCTATATATGCCATCCATCTGTAGTGTACGTACCTCTGTGCGTGCGTATTTGACGTAGTTGGTGTGGATGACGCCGACGACGTGTTTGAACTTGGCGGGCCACGAGGGGATGGAGTCACCCACAGCTCTGCAGACACCGCACCGCACCGCACCAAACCCATACACACAACACACGTGAGTGACGTGTAGCCTAGCCCCAGCCACGTGACGTGAATGTGTGAACGAACGGACGCACCGACACGCTGGTGCGTGTGGATGAATGGATGGATGGGTACGTACCTGTACCAGTTGAGGTGTTCAGGTTCCTCGAGAATGCAGACGTCGGCCTCCTCGTCGGGGATCAGCTGAGTTATGTCGCCCATCGGGAATATACTACCGAACTCGCTGTGATACTGCATATAATATACAGCCACAGACACCCACAGACAGAACGACGAAACCAACGAATGAATACGACCAGATAGCTTAACATAGTCCATCTGTCTGCGTGTTGGCCTGGCTCCCCTCCCGTTCATCCCTCCCACCCTGCTGCGGTAGAACTTGATCTGCAGCTCTTCGGCCTCCTCAGCCATGCCCGCACTCTCAGACAGCCACTCCTTCACATACCTATAGATAGCACCAACACAACACACGCAGGTCAGTCAGGTGATGGGTTGGCTGTCATGTGATTGATGTCTCTGTAGCTATCTATCTAGTATCTATCTGGTGGAGGGAGGCTGTTATGTTGCTCACCCACCTGGCCTGTTCGTCCTGTGTCTTGAATCGTTTGCCCTTTGGGAAGACGATGCCCTGCTGGTCCTCCTCCAGCCACGGCAGCAGCAACGTCACATACCTACACACACACACACACGTTTGCCCCTGTACACATACGGCCACACTCGCCCCTTCCCTGTCTGTCTGTGCATATGCACTATACTTGGAGGGTCTCCCCCTAGTGAGGTATGCTGCCCTGAGCAGTGGGTTGACGGCCGTGCCGGTGCGCCACGGGAGGCTGGCCGTCGTCACCACACATATCCGCCGGTTGGGGCTCGACATGTCGCTGCTCGGCGCTATCTCGCCCGTCCACAGCACCGTATCTGCATCGCAGCCGTCCAGTCCACACATTCAATGAATGAAATGAACAGCTGTCGTCTGAGGATATGCCTACCAGAGGTCCCCTCAGTGCCCATCTCCTCCAGCCACGGCAGCAGCGGTCCGGCCGAGAGGGTCGCCGGCCGCCTGGCGTCGTTGAGTGCCGTGGACAGGAGCTCGTTGAAGAGGGTGGCGATGCTCCGCGTGCTCATGTTTTTACTCCCGCCGCCCTCCCGCGACAGCCAGTCGAACTCAATCTTGCCCCACTGGTCGTTTGTCGCGGTGCTGCTGATGTTCCACAGGTCGCCGTATTGCTCTCCCAGCAGCGTAGCCATGAAGGTGTTGGGCCCGATGAAGCTCTGTGTGAGTGACTCCCACGTGAGGTTGGGCAGCAGCTCGCTGCCGTCCATCTCCCCGGTGAGCAGGGGGCGGGAGAACAAAGTGGGTGGCGACGGGGTGTAGGTGGCGTTGCCTGCCCTGGCCCTGTCCTGTCGCGACTTGTCGAAGCCATGGGAGAGGAAGGTGATGGCGTCGCTGATTGCCCACACGTCGTCGCCCGAGTCGCCCTTCCGCGCCTTACTCACCGACCAGTTGCCCGCCAGTCGCTCAAACAAGTCGTCCCCGCGCCGCCCGCTGCGTTGGTCGTCGGGGCTCATGACGGCATTTAGCAGGGTGGTCATGCCCTGCAGGCTCACGTCGCTGAAGTTGAACCGAGAGACCAACGACACGCCCGTGTTGTTCTGCGTCGGCTCCACCGAAAAGCGGAACTTGACCAGGTCGGCATCGTTGGTGGTCGAGGGGGAGGAAGACGTGGACGTGGAGGGAGCTGTCGAATCAGGATGGTCACTAACATGGTGAGAAGACGGCTGATGGTCGCCCCTCCTGCTTGCGTGTAGCGGCACTCCCGGCCGGCTGTGGCTGTGGCTGGTCAGAGGGAGATGTTTGGACAAGGCATTTGACCTCCTGCCCCTCCTGGTGGCCGTGTCTTGGTCCTGCTTGCACAGCAGCGCCCTCTTGCTGCTCCTGGCCAGACGCGGCTTGGTCAGGAACTTGAGCACGCTCTTGCGCATCGTGGCCGTCGTGCGCCGACTGGGCGGGGAGGAGGGTGATGTGGACGTGCCGTCGCCCCACGTGACGAACACGGGATGGTCGTGTCGTGCGGTGTGGGTGTGGGCGGCACGCGCTAAGGCCATGAATAGGGTTGAGACGAGGGGAAGGCGGACGGGGAATGCTGCCATCGTCGATGACTCATAAAGCATCTCCCGGTGTCTTCATGAAGTCATGACCTCTCTGATCCGCACGGCAGATCAGCGTTGTCGTCTTGTTGCTCTTGTCTTGTTTTCGCCGGGGTTCCCTGCTCGCGGTTGCTCCACCAACAAAACTGCCACAAAAGATCTGCAAGAGGCTCCCGCGTCTGCGAGCTTAGCTGCGAGCTCAGAGTTGCAGATCTCCCCAGAACTGACTTGCTCGTATCTGCCGTGAGCCTTACTGGGCAATCAATCACCCGCCCTCCCATTGAGGATGAGCCTCATATTTTTGCATCCTGTCCATTGTATCGCTCTCTGCGGGACACTCTGCACACAATTGTCGGCCGGCATGGCGTGACTGCCCCTGATGCCTCTAGTTATCGTCTGTGGCGCAGGTCACATCCAATTGTGTTCACTTATTGTGTGCTGCAATCGGACAAACTGCCGGTGCTTTCTGCAGCGGCCGACTTTCTTCTGTCAGCACAGGCGACACGCACTGAGGGGCTTGCCCTCAACCCATTTTTGCCAGACAGTCAGGCAGGGGAAGACGACGAGCTGCTGTACGAACAGCATATCTTAGATCAGTGGGCGCTCGACGTCGAGCTCTCTGACTAGCCTCTGGGTGTCTTGCCTATGTCTGGCTGTCATTCTCATATACCTGCAACCGTTGTCGACAGCGATTTTCTGACCATCATAGGGTGGCACGTG